TGCGTTTTGTTTGAACAAATTACAAAAAGAAGCAGGATAACAAAGTGAGTAACCTCAGCACTCTTATTATGGTTGCTGAGTGCTTTGAGTAGAATTGCCCTTTTCCACTGTTTTGAAGACCCAGAAACAATACATTTTATAATGCTTCCAACTCTAGTGGAAACATGCCCTTTCCAAAATGCTAACAACATCCAGTGCTTCAGGCATGGTTCTTTTCATCCTCCTCCTACCAACATCCAAACTACTCTCAATTATACAGTAATGCTTCTCAACTAGCAGGAGACAAGAGTACAGCGTCTAATTACAGTTTAGTTGATTTTTTACTAAACCCAGGTGTGCACAGTCTTAAACTGAGAGTCTTGCTTCACGCTTGCCAGAACTATGGGGACAAACAGCATCTTTAATATTGAGATCTGCTGTTGTAAGGCATTACTCTCATAGGACGTTGCTTTTGAAATGTACGCAATTACTTCTACATAGCTAAAATTATTGATCAGAATCACAAAGATTCAGGTTTCTTAAAGCAGTGTCAGTATATACATCCAAGTATACCGATCAAGAAAAAAAACACCCAAACCCTCCTCATTCCTTTGGCATCCTTTCATCTATGGGAGATGGTGGATATTGCAGGATATGACATAACCATAAAAAATAAGTAAAAAGCAGTTGAATTAATGTTGCAGGAGGAAATACAATTTCCCAATTTTAAAAAACTGTAGTATTATGAACCTACCTCATTATTAGCTAGAAATTAGGCATAACTAAAAGAAAAAAAATATGTACAAGTATGCTTCTGGTAGGTACCACCACGCTGACCCTCTACGGCTAGGTACAGACATTCAAAAAGCCCAAGGTGGAATCGATCCAAGAGTTATGCGGTTTTCTGTAAGTGGCGTAGTTTAGATCAGTAGCAAACAGAACGCACATTCGCCCTTTGGTGAGGGGTGCAAATCTCAGACCGGGTTCTGCCATTTTTAAACTAGCGCACGCACCGAACTTCTGTTCTGTTATAGGTATAGATCGGTTTCCAAACACTTGTACCTGTAAAAGTGTAGTGTCTGTACCTGGTCTAGGAAGCATGCACTTTACTTGCAATACTATATGTGTACGGTATTCAATAAAGACACCAACATGGTGCTTACACAAACTTAATAAATAGCCCCATGAAAGCAGGTGGGGGCAGACACTGCAC